TTTTACTTATATATATAGTGCCGGTCACGGTAGCCGAGCGGTCTAAGGCATGTACTGTCTTCGCTCGCTTGGAAACCGTGATCGTGGGTTCGAATCCCACTCAGGGCATGAATGTTTAGTTTGTGTGTGCGCATATTTCTGTTTTTCTGTACAGGTAGAGGCCTTGTGACGAGCTGATCACCCACCCAAGCAGTCCTACCGAATGTGTAAGATCTAGAAAAACCTAACTGAATGGAAAAGTTCATGGAGGTAGGCCTAGGCCCACTGGGGCTGTAGTGACAAGGGGGGGGGATGTATAGTACACTGGACATCTGGGTACACAGTCTTAACTTATTAAATAATTTTAATCGGATACTGTAATGATTGTAATTAATAACATACAAAAATAAAAATTATTTAGAAACATGGTAAAGAAAGATTGATTATACACTCAAACTGAATGATGATCTGCTGGGGATTACAATGTGTTCATAAAAAATGTATTATCTTGGAAAGTGTATAATAAAAAATTGCTTGGTTGACTTCTGTAGCTACATGGTATCAAAAATTATAGTAATAAAATTAAAGGATCATGGATTAAACAACTGCACAGTCACACCTTTAATAGTGCAGTACAGTCCTCTTTTGGAAGCCAACAGTCATACAATAAAAAAAACTCACATCTTTTACAGAACTCTGAAGGTTCATTACAGCATTCATATAAGCCAGACACTGGACTCTATACTCAGACAGATGAATTTAGTTCACATCCTAACACTGTATTCCTTTATGATCCTTTTAATACTATTCTCCCAACTGTGCCTACATCTTTCTACCTTTGGATCTTCAGACTAACATTCTGTATGTGTTTTTTACTGCCTACATCTCACCCTCCTCCACCTGAGCTCAAAAATTATGAAGCTCCTCACTATGAAATTTTCTCCGGTCTCCTGTTACTTCACTTCTTAGGTCTCTTGCATTCCATTCTATGTTCTTCCCTTACAGTCAGAGGCCCAGTTACGCACTGTAAAAAAAGTTTTGTATATAGTTTAAATTATATACTTCTAGATAGGAGACAGGAAGCAAAATATTCTGAACTGAATAGCAGCCAGCATTCCCCAGCTTTAATCTGCTTTTCACTTCCTCAGGGATGAAATTTGAATTTCATATTTTAAAATAATTATTTCCTATTTTTATATTATAATTTTGTCCTACTTTCTGGTGACAGCATATTCATATATTTTTAGATTTATGTATACATATTTACTTCTACAGCAAGCTTCTTACTAGTATTTAACTGACCTGTTATCTTTAGATTTTCATTCAATTAACATCAGCAGCACAGACCAGTAGCTAGCATGTCCCATTTAATTTCACTTCCTCATAATTTTCTGGACCTTCCTAACTGCATATTCCAAGGACAAAGTTAAAAAAAATGACACCAAAGCATCTCCTTTTTTCATATCACTCTGAAGAGGAAATTTAACAGACAAATGCTTACCTATATGGAGTTTGTTACAGGTTCAATTTAAACACATTTGCATTAATCAAATTTGTTATGATGTGCTGAACTTCTGAATGTTGTAGAATACTACTTTTCTGAGTCACTGTCACTGTCACACAGTTGACATACTGTTTACTCCCACCACCATTCTTCATTATTATGTGAAGTTTTGTTTCTACCTTCTTCTAAATACCTTCCTTTTTCTTCTTTCATATATTTTTTCTTCCATTTTCTTTATCTATTTTATGACTGTGAGTTGTTATATCAAGAGTTCTAGTAGAAAAAAATGCCTTTTGCATGAGGAAAACTGTGTATTCACAGAAAAAATCCTTAATAAAAAAACCTGTTAAATTATTTTGGGTCTGGAATGGGGTCCACTCAGCCTCGTGAGGATAATTGAGGAGCTATTTCAAGGACATAGCGGCTCTGGTCTAGAAAACCGAAAATAACGGCCATAGCAGTTCATTGTGCTGACCATGTGACACCCTCTATCCACAAAAGTTGGCACTAAACTTTGCCGACAAGTGGCGGTCCCTCGGTCAGTATAGTTTGCTTGCGGACTAAAATCGCAGAGTTTCTCGTTTTGTTAAATTATTTTACTATGGTGACTGATAAATAACATTAACTTATGCCATACTTTATTCCCATGCTAATTAATCTCCATATTCCTTACTGCATTTAGTGGAAGCCAAATTATTATTTCCTGTATATTTAGCACAGCGCTTTCCAGTTGATGCCTGGGACTGTTTGTTCAGGCTAAAGCAGCCAGTGTGAAACTTGACCACTCTCCTCCATGTAATGCTGAAGCTAAGAATACATGGAGCTATACCTCCAATCAACATACATCTTCATGGCATAATGCTCAACCTGTTCGCAATCATATACATACCTATTCTACAGACCATGGTCACTGCAAGTGCCCTTTTATACAAAACATGATTTGAACTCATACTGACCTATGAGTACATTGTGATATGATTTAGAAAACTGCAGACGATGCAAAGGACACCTACAGATCAGTGAAAGTACTGTTTTGTAATTCACATGCAAGGAACATCTGTACAATGATCACTTCTCAGAATGTTTCCTAGGGAAGGCTACCTCAAGTGGAGAATACCATATTTACACATGTATAGGCGCGTGCGTGTATAGGCCACAGCACAATTTTCAGACAGAAATTATAGAAAAAATAATTTTCTTGGAATATTATTTCAGGAGTAGAATACCCTGTATTACTAATTATGAATATAATTTTTTTTAAATGAAGTGTGATTTCGAATATTTCGAATATAAGCCGCACCCCAGTTTTCCTCTCAAATTTTTGGCAAAAAATGTGCGGCCTATACATGCGTAAATACGGTATTTGTAAGTTACAAATGCCCACACACTATCAGTGAGAGAAAGATATTGTAGAGGTGCATGAATGAAGCCCTTTTAATCATAATGTCTCATGGTCACTGTTGTAAGAACAAACCAGAATTACACGTTAAACTCAAATTACCCAATAGATTTTCAATATTTGGAGCTGGCATTCTATTAAGACTTTGGTTACACTCCTTGATATTATTTAAAAACGTGCTAAGAAATGTATACAGTTATACAGTGTTCATATATAGACCCACAAACTACAGTCCCTGTAATGAAGGAAAAGTGAGTCTTATATATTATGCAAGTTGCTTCTTACATTTTATTGACCAGAAATGTTTCTTACATGAATGCTAAGAAGTTACACTCAGCAAATATAAATTAATCAAACCTCATATGATTCTTGAAAATGGTATCAACAATATATCACATTATAACTGTACCTCTATTTGCTCTAAAGCAGTTATTCTCAACCCGTGGTTCAGAAATCTTCAGCTGTTCAATACAATTATAAGACAGAGAAAAATACGTAATATTTGAAATTTACAACCATAAAAATAGTTTTAATATATAAATTTGCAATATTTGCCACTCCTAGGCAAATAACTATTATGAGTGTTAAATACTGTACTACCGAAGTTTATAGTGACATCCAGTTTTAAGGTGACCCCCTGAAAAATAAACTAGACTCTTTAACACATCATAACAGAAGATTCATAGATGTATCTAGACATCTTAGCATCTGTAAATGAGGGTTTGAAGTAGTGTATATAATGCAACACTCCACGAAGAAAGAACTGCTGCTTCAAACAAATGGCAATGCTGTTACTCCAAAAAACTGAAACATATCCTATCATTATGAAAATCTTAATTCTGTAATATGTTGGATGAAAATTGCTTATGCTCTGCAATATATTCAAAATCTGATTTGAAGTTCTCCAAAACTGTTTTCCATATCACAATCTAGCACCTGAGTGGAACTTTATAAGTAAAATTATTCTAATCACAGTCAGAGAATTCTAGCAACATTCTCCTGGCAATGCCACTTTGGTGAGCTACTGGGTTCATACTTACAGGTCACAGTACATTGAATGAAATTCTGATGGACCTATATTTGGGGTGTACTTTTAACATCAATTAAAAGGGGGGGGGACATATCCTTGGTAAATCACATGGATTTCTAGGCAGCAACCGCAAATCCAACACGATTATTCTCCATGTCAAACTCTGTGTAAAATTTGCCAATAAAGACATCTCCTAAGATCCAGAGAGGGCCTTTGGGAAGATCTATACCCATAAAACCAGAAAGGCACACTGTGCGACCAAGCTGTGACACCTGGAATACAAACATGAATGATACAATTATATTTATACAAATCCATAGATACACACGTGTAGGCTCCAATAACATTTTATATTTGACTTCATTAAATACAGTCCAAATCTGTTCTGTACTTATAGAGGATTTCAGAGAAGTCGTGTAATGGAACAAAAAATTATCTGTTACAGAAATCAGTGATAGTAAAGATGGAATATGATAACTTACTCTAAGAATATAATCCTTTCCATCCAGGGTGAAATTCTTACCACCAAGGACGAAATCGATCTCAGGAAGCTTGGGAATCAAGTTGCAGTCCACCTAAGAGTAAAAATGGCACAAAATATGCAGTACAGCAAGAAACAATTTACATAAAAATAAAACAGCATCTGCATGCACTGCAGGAGAGACACACCGCTGTGCAAGGCCGCCCAGATCTTTGCTTGGGCACTTCATGCACTGTACCATCAACCTCAAATATGTCATGAATGCATCCAACTGTTAATTGCATTAGAGGTTCCACTGTCTTTGTACTTCACACACATTTTGAAATTTCCAGTACCACTGCAAAATTGTCTTGCATTGATCGAACAACAACTGTTCCACCACCATTTTCTCCAATTGTCTTGCCATATGATAATGTGGCTCTCATCTTTTGAGAGAATATCACACTACATATATATCCCCAAATAATCTCTATTAAAGCATGTATATATTTTTATGGACCCTCTGTATTTACCAAATCCTTTCTTTCAAAACTTGCATTAACTAATTCTGTAACTTTGACGTTCACAGGGGGTAAGCAGTAGTGTAGTTGGTTGAGGCACTATGCTACAATCCGGGAGGTCACGGGTTCAAGTCCTGATGAGGTCACTGGATTTTTTCCAATTGACCTAATCCTTCCAGCCGCACTACGGCCCTGGGGTCGACTCAGCCTCTAACAGAAATGAGTACCAGGAATATTCTTCGGGGTACAGGGTGGCCGGCACATAGGGCTGACAACCTTGTTGCCATCTATGAGCCGTTTGTCTAGAAAATGTGGGAACCTCAACATCTCACAACCCTATGTGCCTCCACGGCCTGTTAAAGGGATACCTTTACTTTACTTCGACTTTCATGTACTTCAGACATAAAATTTGTATGTTTCACCTTATTACATGCTGCATTCTTGTGGCAGAAATGAGCATCAATGCAGGCAAGTGTCAAGAAAGAGCAACATATAATATTGCTGATAAAGCCAAATATGAACAGAAGAATATACTATTTTATTTGTGTTCAATTAAATATAAATACAAAATTCAGGTCTTAATGAAGCCTATACTTTATTTCATGTTCCATTCTTTTGTTCAGTATGCTGCATGCTGAAGAAAAGAAACTAAGATTATACGTGGTTTGAACTTCATATAGAGGGGTACAGTGGACTGATACACAAATTAAATGCATAAACACAAACTTCCCATTATGCATTTATGCAGATAATGCGTAAAAAGATTCACTAACGAACACAAACCACAATCAGTGTATGAATGCATTATTATTCCTTTTTACCATGTATTCACCACCCACAATAGGAGTGCCACCGATGAGTTTATTCAGGGCTGTCACTTCACTCACAGGTCCAGCAATAAGACTGGTGCCAGTATCGGCAATAGCTTCACAACCATTGGTACAGAATGAGCTGCTCGCAACTAGTACTCTGTGAATCAACAATTTGAACAGTTTTAACTACAACACTTGATTTCCGGCTTAAATCTAACAATTTTATTGTGGTATGGTTTTATACTAAATATGTAGTACAGCAGTTTTGTTTCATGTACTTACAAAGATATAGATATTTTTCTGATATTTATGAATTTAAAGATTTAAAAAGCATAATGATCCTAGCAGTTTCCAGTCATGAGACACTAAATTCTTGTCCTGGTATATGCATGTGATTATGTATAGTGGTACTAAATATGAATTTCACTTCTTTCCTCTCAGTATGACCAAACAGGTGTATGGAAAAACACCTTTTAGTAGTTATGTTGAGCAAAATGCAGTCACAAAAACTTTTGACTTAAAGCTTACTTGTCCATCTTGAATTGCCAGTACATCTTTCTATCCACAGGCAAATAAGTGAAGTCTCCAGTGTAGTGTTTGGGATCTGAGCCTCCAAGAATCAGTTCACCTCCTTGTGGTGCCTCAGGGTCTCTGGAGGAAATAACAAATTTAAATAATAGTTTTGTTCTAATTCCACATTAGTATTACTGAAGATAAGGAAAAATCAATCTTCTCATGTTTCCTCTTCAAACACAAACTTTTTTCTTTGCATCCAGGATATGTCCAACACAATTCAGTTGTCTCACAACACTACAAGCAACACCTTACCCACGCTTCAAAAATCAACCTCAAGAACTAACAGCAGAAGACTGTACATGTAGCTCAAGACTACCCACACATTCCCTAAGAACTAATGGATTCAACATAATATGGACTCAGCCACATATCCAAGTACATACGTGGCACTGAAACAGGAACCAGGGAATACATTCCCAATTAAAACACACAGAAACACTTGCACATATCCATCAAACAACACACGTGCTCATCCCATTATACTGATATTACACGCACTTAACCACACACAAACTCATCCTAAATATTAAAGGATTTTAACAATTTAATACCAACATATATACCGCATATCTTGATGTGAAAAATGGCTCCATTTTATTGAAATTCATTTTAATGTTAACTCACACAGTTCAATGACTGCATAATTATTTATTTATTTCAAACCAGCTGTTGATACTCTATCATGACTGAAACATGTGGTATTAAATATAACAATAAATTAATCCTGGCTCTACTGTCTGTTTTGTTTTATTGTCAAGTCATTATTGTGTAGATGGCTGCCTACACACTGTGATAAATATAAATGTCATCGTGACCATTTAATATATTATTTAAAGATGTATCTTATGTACATAAAATTAGATGCTAGAATGACTGTAATTAGTAAATCAGCAGGGAATGGAAAGGAAGAACTGTATTTTTGCATACTATTTCAAGAAACCAAGGGAGGCAAGTAGACCCCTCTTCACACTGAACTTCCCAGCTAAGATATTAAGGTACCAGCATTGTCATAAAGCATTATCAATTTCAATTCTCTTACTTTTTACCAGTTTCTTGTAGGGTCCAGATAAAAAGGCAGCTTCATCATCTTCACTGTATGATATTCGAAGGCGAATACTACTTTCAGTCTTTTTAGAAATATATCACTAACAACTAGGAAGAGATATAATAACTGGGCTTTTAAAGTGCTCAAATTAATCTGTGACCACTGATCTTTCATAATTTTGAAACTCTTTAATGCATAAAGCAATCTCTGAGGAACCCTGGCAGCAAATAGAAAAGATGCACGAGGTCACACCCTGTTCACACATTCAGCATTCTTTCCTGTTGTTAACAGAAATATATGAAACAGCCACAACACATAAGCAATTTAGCATGTGGTACCATAGTTGGTTGAGCCACTATGCTACAAGCTGGCAGGTCGCAGGTTCGATTCCTGATAAAGTCACTGGATTTTTTTTCAATTTGCCTAATCCTTCCAGCCGCATTATGGCCCTGGGGTCGACACAGCCTCTAACAGAAATGGGTACCAGGAATATTCCTGGAGAGTAAAGGGCAGACGGTGTGTAAGGCTAACAACCTTACCGCCATCTGTGAGCCGATTGTCTAGAAGATGTGGGAACACCGACTTCTCACAACTCTATGGGCCTCCACGGCCTTTTA